GCCTGTATATAGGCGTCCGCCTCCATTAGTGCCTCTTGGAGGGTAGCTACCCTCTTTCTGACAAGGTCGAACTTGAAGGTTGACCCGTCCTTCAGACCTTTGAAAAAGTCTGTGTAGGCTACCTCATCAGACAGTCCTTGAATCTGAATTCTCATCAGATTGAACCGCCTGATATATGAGCGTAGCCCCTCCTTCTCTCCCTGATGTATGGCTCCCAAGTCAAGACTTGTTTTCTTTGCACGGATATTCATTGAGAAGTTTGACGCGAACAAGTATGCAAGCGTCTTAAAGTTATTTATGCACCCGGCTAGCAGGTTGCCAAACCATTGTTGGGCGACACCCTTCAATGTGGCCGGGAAGCATCTACACCATGCTGCATCATCCAACCCTTGAAGATACATAAGGTTGGTGTATGCCATCAGGTGGTCTTCTGGATTGGTGATACCATCATAACTACCTACCAACACATTTTTCACCTTGGCCGGCTGTGCGGCCTTAGTTATTTCCTTGGAGAAAGCTGAAGGTCGTTCCCCTAGTTTTAGCAGTCGGAGCTGACAGTCCAAAGGTTGGATATTTTGTGCCGCCTGCCCCCCGAAGAGGGTAGGCTGCATATATGGTTGTCCATACGGCATGTATGGCTGTTGAGGTGCATACGGGGTCGCTTGGAATATCTTAGGACTAGAGTGGGCGGACATGTCGCCTGTCTGGTTCTCTCTGTTTGATTGAGAATACCTCATTGAGGTATTCTGAAAGCTGTCATTAAAGTTTGACGTTGAGGCCGACTGTGACAGTTGCATATTCTTCTTTTGCTAGATTAACATCCGAGCATCGGAATATGTTTCTTGGAACCATCCGGCTGAACATTCCGGATGGCCTTCCTTTTCCCTGACGCAAGGAAACAGAATTTGGTCAAGTCAATCACAGGCGACTGTCTTTCCCTAGGTTTAGGGTAAGGAGTAGCCTCTCGGTCCTTGACCGGCTTGTTCCTCCCTGATTGGGAGGGCTTTTAGGCCGACTGTTCCTTGATGGAAACAGCCGTCTGTTTATCAATTAGAACCTTGATCTCCCCTTTGAAACTTGTCATGAGCTCATTTCTTGTTATGGGGGTGGATCCTTCGGCCACCTGAGGTTGACCAACCGGCTGGTTCACTAGGACCCGCCTGCTCGCTGTTCCGTTCCCTCCTTTTAGTGGGGCGGATGCGCCGAGTTCTAAGGGACCCGCCAGGAGCCGTATGAGTATCGACTTCGTAGTCGTCATTAGTGTCCTGGTCTGAGTAAACTTGGACGTCGGCCATAGGCCGTTTCTCATTTGGAGGTGGTACAGGTTCTTGTGAAGCCATCTTAGAAGTACTCTCCCCATAGACGGCACCAAATGTTTCAGGGTTTTTTGGATGTCCTACGGGAGAGTTACAACACTAAGACTAACCTCTAGACGCCTGTACCTGCAAAACAACGGAGACTCCTGTGGGTGGGAGTTCCACCTCCAACGATCAAGTTAGAACATGTTCGGAAGTAAAAATGCGGAAAGTAAAGGGGATCAGGCTCCTCTCGGAAGGGGAGTGATCATCCGACTATCTGAGACATTCTTGGAATCCGAGCTTTAGCTCTCAAGTAGCGCAATTAAAGCCGGAGTAAATGCTCAGCCAGTAATGTACGCATGTGTTTAATGATTTCTAAATGATGTTCCTCAGAGGGAACATCTTCCTTTTATAGGGTCTCGAAATATGTGCCCTGTACTAGGTTTTTAGAAACCTAGGACTGACTAGGCTTGCCTAAGTATTTGGGGCCTATAAGGCCACCTTCCTAGTTGGCAATCTGTCTGCCACGTGTCGTGGCCTGAGAGGACCACCTTAGACCTCTCATGAGGTGACACGTGGCGGGCTCTGGTTGGTCCACGTGGTTGACACGTGGCAAAGTTCCATTGGTCCACGTGGCGGGAGAAAATCCACTAATCACACCTCACTACGCTGTCGGCGAATTATACACCTCCCGTCGACGATCAATGAGACAGAGCCGCTTCATGAGAACAGAGAAGATGAGATAGAGAGAGGAGATGAAGAGAGAGAAACTAATTTTGGACCTAACTGAAAGAGAAAGTAAAACCCTTGAATATTGAAATTGACAAAAACGCGGATCCGTTACAATTCAAACAATAACGGGGTCACGTGCAACTCACCAGCATTCAAGGATTGTAAATTTTTGTCTTTGCCCTCCTATATACATAGGATGCATATAGCACCTATGCGCTGATATGGACTCTATACGGAGTATCATTATACGATTTCATTTTAATTTAACGTAAATTATGAAAATTTTATACTGATATTTGATATCAAAAGATAATCTCTAACTCTTTAAATAATTGAAATCGTGATATTAAAAGATAATGTTTAGCTTTTAAATAATTTAAAAAACAATACCCCATATCAAGAGAGTGGGGGATGTTGGAAATAATGCTAAGGAAACAAGATATTTGTTTTGGAGGAAAACTCTTTGTGCCACATTGGTGGGATAAAGTTAGTTTTACTTGTTTTATATATTGGAAGAAAAGAGTTTTGTCCCACATTGGAGGATAAAGGAAAGTTTTACTTGATTTTTATATGAGGCTTTAAAGTTAGTTGTTTGAAGTGTTTTTCCAATTGTTGTGAGTTAGAAGGGGGCATCCCCATGCGCGCCGCCGTCCGTCCGTCTGGTTCGTGGCACGTGTGCGGTGTGCCTACTTTTTGGGCTTTGTCGTAACTGACGGTCCAGCTTTATGAGACCGTTCAGTTACAAAGCTTGCAACAGACGTTTTACTCGTTCAAAAAACGTTCATTTGATTTTCGCCCCTATCTTTACTGCTCCCTGATTTTTCTCCGGCAGTTACACCTTTGATGGTCTTTAAAAACCGAGTTTGCAATCAGTTTTGAACTACAACAAGAAATCTCTTCTTCTTCCTCTAAAAATCAGATTTCCTCTAGTCTAGTTCTGAGCATATTGTGAGTTCCAAATCTCTCTTTTTGAGTGCACATTAAGAGAGATCGTTGTGTTAAATCTTGGGAGGGCAACGCCATCTTTGATTGCACTATAGTCGAGGCGAATTTTGCTTCTAAGACAGTGTTCCTAACACGTCACAGCGTTTTACGTACATTAAACAAATTCGGCCCACATTTCAATCTTTATATTTTCTGATTTTATAGTATGTCTACCTACAAGAGATAATTCAAGTGGTTAGAGCTTCACTCTCCATACCAAAAAATCTTGGCTCACTATATATCAAAAATAATTTGATTAAATTTTGGTTAACCACGTCAATTAGGATAATTACAGAGGTTAAATATTTGATTAAGGTTTCGGAAAACGGCAGCATTTGTTACAGTAATAAGGACTAAATATCTTGTATTCTTACGAAAATTTTGTGCACTGGTATAAATTGAAAATTGAACAAGGATATAAAAAGATATGAACCTGATCAAGAAACCGAATAAATTTGATTTAATCTCGTGCGATGCACGGTTATCTTGTTTTAACTCGACTACGTTTGGGTTTAATTTAGAAAAAACTAATCCTCCCTCCGCTCTTGAAAGTTCGACTCACTTTGCATTTGCACGGTCTCCAATGAACATATTTGACAATAAAATTTTTAAAAAGTTGATATTTGAAAATTTTATCATTAGGGAATCTAATAAGATCAAATTTGTTAATTTATTTTGATTGTATAAATTATAAAACGTGGTCAAAGTTATTTTATCTTGACCACATAAATAGTGAGTGAGTCGAATTTTCAAAAATGGAGATAGTATTAAATATACGAATTAAATATTTTTGTCATATATTAATTAATAAATTGTTGATATGCTATTCAGCTTATTTTATAAATTCCTATAATTCGAATAAAAAAAAATTTAAAAAAAATTCCTATAATTGTTAGGCGAGCAATATTATTAACTTATGCTTTGTATAGCGATAGTTTGTTTTCTACTTAATAGACAGCTTAGCTAATTAAAAAGTCACCAATTAAAAACACACATTTAATGATTCCCTTATAGAATAGACAACTTAGCTAAAGTGAACTACTAATCTATCTAAAATGTGTTTGTTGCTCATACCTTGTAATTATTGTTGAAAAAAAAAGTAATTGGATCGTGAGAGAATATGTATGGATTATAATATTTTTACATGAACAAATTCAATCCTGAGAAGGATTGAGGATGTTCATTTCTTATTTTTACGTATTTTAACAAAAAAATAGTTTTGGTCTGAATTAAGTATACACGAAGTACAAACAAATTGTCCTGCAATTGGCGAATTTTCCTTAAAATAAACAAGATCGGCTAAATTAATGGTTTCACCGTATCAAGTATCAGCAGGTATATCAGATTGGCAATTAATGAATTTTCCTTGAACAAATATTTTCCGAATGTCGATATTTTGAATGCCAAGGTCAACCCCAATGCGAGCTACACTTGGCGCTCGATTTTGTCTGCTAGGGAGGTAATAGTGAAAGGTGCCCGAAAGGTGGTGGGTAATGGTTCTACTATTGATATTTGGCGCGATCCTTGGGTCCCACGTCTTCCTGAGTTCAGAGTGTTACCTCAACAGCCCAGTGAGAGTGATTTCCCGGTAATGTGTCTGATTTGCTCGAAAATGAGTCCTGGAATATTGGTTTGCTCAATGAGACTTTTTCTGCGTGGGAAGTTACTGAAGTCAGGAAAATTCCGATTGCTCGCTTTAGCTCTGAGGACTGTTGGACATGGCATTTTTCAAACAATGGGGAATTGACAGTTAGAAGTGCTTATTTTGTGGAGCTCAAACCTAGAAGAAGTGAGCGTGCCTCTTCATTCATGTCTCCTGCTGACTGCCTTTAGAAAAACCTATGGGCTGCTCATCTCCCACCAAAATTAAAACACCTTGGTTGGAGAGTCCTTTATGGTGGGATCCCTGTGCGTACAAACTAGAAAAAAAGAGGCATGTGTGATGAGGATTTATGCCCTTGATGTGGAGAAGTGCCGAAAACATTGATGCATATGTTGTTCTTGTGCAAGAGTGCTCGTGATATTTGGTATTTTTCTCCTTTGCGTCTTGACTCGAAAACAGGTGAGGATTTGTCTTTCAATCACTGGTGCTCTTCCTTGCTGCAGATTAATAATAGAAGGGAGTGGTGGGATCTTTTCTGGAGTCTATTATGGGGAATATGGCTAAAGAGCAATGCCTGGTGTTTTGAGAATAAGGTGCTGAAGATTGAGGATATAATCACTAGAGCTGTTTACATTGTTGGGGAATATGAGAAAGCAAATGCTAAAACTCCCACTGATATTAGCATTAAGCAGCCTCCCAGACACTATTGGCAGGCTACTGCTATGGGTTGCTACATGATTAACTCAGATGCTGCTATTTTCAGAGATAGTACAGCAGGCCTTGGAGGAGTTGTTCGTGATTCTGTGGGGGACGTTGTGGTTGCAACTTGTAAAATTAGTGGCTGCCTAGAGGTGAATGTTCTTGAGGCTTTGGCAGCTAGGCACTCAATCTCTATTGCGCTAGAGGCGGGTTTTAACAAGCTTATTCTGGAGTCTGACAGCCTGAAGTTGATCAATTACTTGAAGCACAGCAAGTTCGAACACACGAGTTTTGGCCTTATCATGAGAGATATCCTCCACCTAGCTAATTTTAGTACTTCGATTGAATACTCACATGTTGGCAGGCTGGGAAATGGAGTGACGCATAAACTTAGCTAAGCTCAGTTGTAATTTTGAGGAGATGATGGTTTGGTTGGAGGAGGCACCTGATGGTGTCCTAGATGCTATAACTCTTGATATTTCAAGTTTGATTTAATAAAAGTTCTTTGCTTCCCAGCAAAAAAAGGTACTGGTATATCAGATTGGCTAATTACACTACAGTGACTGGGAATATGAGACAGAATCGAAAAATTCAAACCCAACTACCTTATTCATTTACACAATCAGTTTTATTAAGCCAGCCTGCCATCCCCCACCAATTGGCATTAATAGATAGACCCACTCCACAATCATACTACAAAGTCCAGCAATTGACATTAAGCTTCACAAATTATAGATAACAGATAACTATGTTACCACATTCAACTCCACCTTTGCAATTACTCCTGAAAATAATGCAGGAAGAAACAATAACAAAGCAATTATGTCGATACATTCACTAGCAATTATCACCACAACCGATTTATCGATTAGTTTATAATCCAAAGCAAATCAGATCCAAAGTTCAGTTCCAATTACAAGCAACATCTAATTACAAACATCATTTAATCATCTCGAAATTTAATTGTTTATGCAATAATGAGAAGACACTAAGCTACTATATCCACAACACCTGGGTTCTAATCTGAAGCAATGCTAACCATGTCGCCGATTGACTGATACTTGCATGATGAACTTTGACTCTCTTATGGCCTTCTCCTTCTCTATCTTGTGTCGTACTCTGTATCTCACTCTCCAACAACTTTTTGTTCCACAAAAGGTAGTAAACGGCGTTATTAACAGCCATCACTTAACATTTCTTACCATCTAACAAAAACCTGTTACAAGTTAAAAGACAACTACGGTACAGAATAATATAAAATGAATATTTCCAGAAACTCAAGGCTAGAAATCACAGAAGTGCATCCTGTTAACAAGCTTTGTTCATCAACCTGATGAACCAGGGCCGCCTCCAAGATTGCATAATCAAGCAAAGACTAACAGCAGGCTTCTGTTAAGGAGGTGAGGGGCACAAGGATTTGGGAGGGTGTCCTTTTTATAGGCCAAGTTGGGAGGTGGATGTGGTATCAACATCAAAGCTTGCAAGTTGAAGATTTGGTAATTGGGTTCTTTATTTTTGACTCTGTCCGGAGTTATAAATAAATTCAATGCGTCTGAATCTTTGTACTTGAGTATTCGCCACAGATTCACTAAAAATAACTCATTTATACTTCGTAAAGCTGTCTTCTTTTGTGTGTAGATCTAAACATAATCAACTTATATACTACGTGTGAAGTATATAGCAACAATATGTGACAACTTTTTCCGAATATTTTCTATGTACTCGTAGATACATACATGACACTACCTATCTGAGTCCCAAGGGATTTATTTATTTTCATTTTTTGGTGTTTTTCTTATACTAAAATTTTATGCCCCACTGTCTAGGAAAGATATTTTTGGGAGATGAGGATCAAAAATATTGGTGGCTGATACAAAATGACAGTTATGCCCCTAGATTTTTTTTAATCCGATTTCCAATATCTACTACTCCAGTACTCCGTAATTGAAGAAGAGGTAACGTGTGCTTGCAATATCATGTATTCATGTGCTAGCTATGTGGAAATAGTAAAGTTTAAGTAAAGTTCAGAATCCTGAGACCTTTGTTTCATGTGTCCATTCGCTTTTGGGTAAGGCCTGATGCTGTGTCAATTATGCATTTTATGTAACATAAAGTATAAAAAAAATTCAGGCAGCAAGCTTCAGAAATCAAAGCACTAAAATTCAGAAAATCAAAGCACTAAAAATTCAGAAATACAACCAGCAAACATCAGAAATTTAAGCTTCAGTAATATATATTGTAGAGAAGCAGACTACTTATAGTTAAAGCATTACATATACAATGCATGGAAAGGGCCAATTTCATTTGATGGTCATGTGTGGCTCAGTTTTTTACCGTAAATTGGAAAAGGATTTTAAGAAAATATGACTGTAATTTAGTGTCACTGAGTCACGAACACACAACTGTGTTACTTTGACTCTTCTATATACTTTGACACTCATACTTTTTTTTACTTACCCGAGACATTGATTGCCTTGACATCGAAATAAAGATGAAGAATTTTGTCGAAAAAATCAAGATAGAAGGAAAGCAAAGAGAGAGTTATGAAATATATGCTTGGAAATGGGCTTGAAATACAATTTTAATCAGGATTAGCAGACAAGCCTATATAAAATGTGTGTTACTGTATCTAGTATCTACTAATAATGTGAAGGAATGAACATGTTAAGAAATATTTTTTTGATCTATAACTTGTCCCTGCTTCCATACCCAATTGTAGGACAGGTTGCCTGGTCATAGTTATTTTACTTCGGTTGTGTTTGATACTTGTACATTACTCTCACAAACCTGATGTGTCTCAAGTACAGTGAATTGACTACTAGCTTAAGAATCTACCCACATCTTTACAGCTACTAATTAGTACCATTGTATGCCATCATTGCACAAACATAATCAAGCAAACTAGCAACTACACAACTCGTAAAGGCAATGCAACTACACAACTCATATCCTTACAATACTAGCAAACATAGGAAATTATCAGAATTTTGAGACTTACTACTAGAAAGCATTTTCTAACAATAGTTACGTACCTTGTATCGATCCATACTAATCTTGATCCTGTGACAAGCTTAATAAAAGCGGAGACATAAAGCTTGGATCATAATTCACCGCCTTAACCTGCTCTTCGAATTTATAAGGTTTATAGACAGGAGGATCGAGATAAAGTTCAGCAAGCATGAGCTCATCAGTATATGACAGAATCAATGCCATTTCAGAACGGTTAAATCCAAAGAAATTTGTTATGCCATAATATACACCCAAAAATCCCGACATATCAAGACGAAACAACCTTGTCCATGAACCGTCTATACCATATTTTTTCATCATCCACATCTCTACAACTGTTCGATCATTGTAACTCGCCCAAGCACACAAGCAATCATTCAGGCAACATAGACTAAAAGCCGAACGATCATCATCCTCATCAGATTCTCCAAAGTCTTCACGTGGCAATGGCATAGTCTTAAACTGGTCCAGACCAAACCAATCAAATACAGCAATCATTTTTTGACGACTTTCCGAAGTCACAGCATTCACAGGCCAGTGCAACAATTCATTTATCAGGATGCCACTCAAATTATACCACGGAACTGCAAACTCTATAATTGGATCATCTCTACGCGAAATGTCTATTCTGATCCATCGCGGTCTTGTAAATTGTAAAGAGTATAGATGCACAATTATATCCGGATTCGCAATCATATGAGAATTAACAGCGACGATAAAGTAATCATCTCGGGAAAAAGAATAACCAAACCCAAAATTATAGTCCTTAGCATCATCTCTCTCCGTACGAAGAAGAAAATTGTCTGGTGGGTCAATCTTAATTGAAGAAGCAGGACCAAGAAATGGATTATAAACCACAAAATAAAAACGAAAGTAAAGAAGATGATCAGGAAGTTGTTTGTTAACAGGTTCATCCTTTGAGCAAATCAACAGAAGTAATCCATTACAAGACTCAACGATATAAGGAGATTCATCTTTATAAGCATCTTTATCACGCTTCTTGAATTCGGTGAAATCCAAATTAGGGTAATCTTCATAGTTGAGAGCTGTAAAAGAACTACAGTAATCAATCGATATTACAGACCTGATATTTGGATGCTGAAGAACATGAGCTCTCGCGAATTCAGGAGTCTCAATTGTAGTCCTCCATTTGCTACAAACTGCTTTGAATCTAACTAGGGTTTTAGCAGGGAGCTTGGGCAAAATGTGTTCCAATAGAATGTGCTGGGGAAACTCATTACTTTCTGAGGAGGAAAGAGAACGTGTTATCGGGTTTTCCGGCATTGTTTCCGGCGTTGGTTCCGGCGCTGTTTCCGGGATTGTTTCCGGCTTTGTTTCCGACATTGTTTCCGGCGTGGTTTCCGACATTGATTCCGGCAGAGAGAAAATGGTGTTAGGGATTTGGGTTTTCGATTGAAGTGGAAGATTAGAGATGGTTTGGCGGCAAGTTAGGAGTGAAAAGATTTTGAACTTGTGGGCCAATACGAATTGCACTTAAATTTAATTTTTTTTTTTTTTTTTTTTAAGAGGACTTAAATTTAATCATTGAATTAAAAAAAATATATAAAATCTGAAATAATCCTTTTGAGGCCTCGTTCACTTTACCTTACTTTTGCTGAACTAAAATTATTTTTACTGACTTAAAATTATTTTCGCGGAACTGAAATTATTTTTACTGAACTGAAATTAATTTTATTAAACCAAAATTATTTTGAAAAAATTGCCAGAAATAATAACACCTTTGACCGGTTATTTTTTAACAATACAACCTTTGGATTATTTTGTAATAATATAACCTTTGGGGGTGTTAATTTTAAATAAGACAAAAAACTTGTAACTTGATAAATAGGTTACATTTGACACGTGCCATTACGTAATTTGTCTAACATTAAATTTTGATTTTTTAAAAGATATTTGATTTACAAAAAAATAAAACCCCCCTGCCCCTCCATGTTCAACGGCTCAACCCCCTCCCCCGCTAGCCGCCGGTGACAAGCCCACCTCCCCCATCACGAGCCTACCTACTTGCCCATCCTTAATCTCCGACCCACTGGCACCACCCCCGACCCTACTCTCTTCCTCACCATCAATCACAAATCTCAACAAATCAATGGAGGAGGGCAAAAATGTTGAAAATTGGTGGCGAATTGCTGAATAAGGATGGCAGATTGGTGGTAATTGGTGGCGTTGGCTATGATTTGGTGCGCAATTGGGAAATTAGTGATGCGGTGCGAGGAGAGGGAGTAGCAGCGGCTGGTGGTGGCTGCGGTTCTTGAGGTGTGTTGTGTGGGAGTTTTTGTTGTGGCTGGTGGCAGCGGTTCGTGAGGTGGCTGCTGGTTGTAGCAGCTTATTGGTGGAATGTGGGGTGTGAGGGAATTTTTGGTGGTCT